TTTTTATTGCCAACCTTCAAAATAAGTATTAGTATTAGTTTTAGATTAATTTATTTATATGTATAATTATTAGTCAAAATAAGTAACTTAATTCAAAAATGAGTTTAATTTTTTAAATGATGTAATTTATGAGTTAAATATTGTTACTTAAAAATATGGCAACATAGGAGGATGATTTGTCCATCTCGTAGCAAAGATCTTTACAATTATATACTCTGCAAGACCACACTCAAACCAGTCTTTTAACACAGTTCAATTTGGGTCTTTAAAAACACTGAAAACACTAACAAACTAACAAAGTGAAGAATATTAAGATTTGAGGTTTCATCTTAAAATGTCAACCTTATTAAGAGAGGTAATCCAAATCTTTATAAGATGATTTTCGATATGAGATTCTATCACTTAACATGTCCCCACAAGATGATAGCTCGTTTGAACAGACTAATCTTGAAATTCATGCGCTCAATTTTTTTTTTAGTCTTAATCAGATCGAATTGCTCGTTGGAACATAATTGGCTCTGATACCATGTTAAAATTTGGAGTTTCATCTTAAAATATCAATCTTATTAAGGGAAGTAATCCAAACCTTTATAAATTGATCTATATTTTCATCTTTATTCGATGTGGGATTCTATCCCTTAACATAGAACAGTTGAAAACATCATGAGGCCCTTAATAAATGATAGATTATGAGGGGACAAAGTGATTATAAAGGTATTTTGATAGAGAGATTAATTTGCATAACTTCAACGTGTCTAAATTGGTAGACCTTCAAGGTACAAAATGACTTGAGTTAATGGACAAGGAAAGGGATTTTTCATTGGTACTAAATTGGTTGACAGTTCAATAAGGAAAGGGATTTTTGCTAATTAAAGAGACATGTTGCGCAATTCTAACGTGTCTATTTTGCTTAACAATGTACAAAATGACATTAAAAATCAATATTAGAGAGTTGATAAATTCGATCTGTCACCGAATTTGGGCTTTAATTCACTCATTTTTTATTTATTCCGAACCCTCACTTTTATTTATTTATTTTAGCTTCTGATTTCGTTATTTTGTTCTGTTTATTAATCTTAATGAAAATTAGCAACGAATATATATATAAAAAAAAATGGACTTGAGAAATGAAAAGTATTAGATTTCACCCGTAAGAAAGAATAGGCTAATAACCTCCTTGACACTGGGGTGACGAGAGTGTGTCACTCACTAGCGGATTTTGCAGGGGGCAAGGTTGGGCTGTAGCCCAGCCCTACCCCAACCCACATGGTAAAAGGAAGAGAGATTTTATAGGTGGAAATTACAAAAAATCAGTTGTTTAAACTTCCTAATTCAAAATTCAGTTACAAGTTTTATCTAATCAAAAATCAGGTAT